AGCAAAACCATGGTCTGGCCCATCACAGCAAATACCCCAGTCCCTGGTTACCAACTTCTGTTGGTTTTCTGTTGCTGTGAAGAGACACCATGAGCACGGTAAATCCTACAAAGAAAAACATTTAGTTGGGGTTGGCTTACTGTTTCAGAGACTTTGTTCATTATCATCATGGCGGGTGTATGGCAGCAGGCAGACACGGTGCTGGAGAGGGAGCTGAGAGCTCTACATCTTGATCCTCAGGCAGCAGGGAGTGAACTGATAGTTCTTCCAACAATACCACACCTACTCCATAAAGGCCACACCTCTCTATAGTGTCACTCCCTGTGAGCCTATGGGGGTCAATTACATTTAAACCACCACAGCCCTCAAATGCAAAAGTAGTGACACTTCTGATGATTCCATTTGGATTGCCTAAGAGAAGTGCTTCCTTTAAGCAAAAAGGAGAAAGCATAATAAAAGCTAGAGAGAAAGAAAACTTTTCTTTGTGGGGGGTGGGGCAAGGTTTCTCTGTGTAGCTGCGGTGTTCTGGAACTCACTCTGTAGACCAGGCTAGCCTCAGGGTCACGGAGATCCACCTGCCTCTGCCTCCTGAGTACTGGGATCAAAGGTGCGCGCCACCACTACTCAGTAGAAAGAAAACTTTGATGCAACTTTTATTAAGGAACATTGTTATAATATTTTATTATTAGCTACTGTAAATCTTATAATGCCTATTTAATAAACTTTATTACTGATACTTATGAAAATTATGAGAATATACATATGAATGCATGCCTGATAATATCCTTGGTTTCAGGCATTCACCGAGGGTCTTAGAACATCCTTTCTCCTCAGATAAGAGAGGACTACTGTAGTCTCTGGGTCTGAATGGAGGCAACTTGCCTCTATTCATTTAGTCTACCACAGTCTCCATTGGCTTACCTTGTTAATATTACTTTCCTGGCTTCTGTAGGAATGTGATGTTGCTGCCCTCGCTAGATTTGGAGCAGGGACTGTTTTCCTCTTAAGGGAATTATGCACTATCATAAACATTCATTGAAGCCTGAATGAGTGAAGGACTAGAGAGCTGTCTCTGTGGTGACAAGAGCTTGCTAAGCCTTCGTGAAGACTGGAGTTCAGATCCCTGCACCTGTGTAGAAGCTGGGAGTCCCAGAAGATGCTTCCAGAGCAAGCTTTGAAGGACTCATTGCTTTCTTACTTCCATGACACGTTCTTGCTCTTCAAAAGTGCGTGCGTTTTCACTCTGCTTTGAACAACCCTGCTTTACCTGGGAACATTGGTAGAGCTGTTCCCATGCAAGCAGCTTCAGAGCTGTAAAAGGAAAGCAGACCACTTGCCTGTGAATGGGATTTAGGATTCTCTGCAGTAGAATTACAATGGTTTTTTGCAAATATGAGTGTCTTTTCTCAATATGACACTATTCTGCTCGATTTCTTGTGCTCAGATCTCCTATTCCTTTCATATTCTAAGCATAACCCTAAGCCTAACCATAATACTAATGTTTTTGCTGTGACCCAGTAGTAAACTTCTTGCAAAACAAATTCTTGGTCTTGCAAAAGTGCTATCATTTCACTGTGTTTAACAAATCTTGGAACATATGCACAGCTGTTCTAATGCAAGCAATTTTAGAGTTGTATGAGGAAAAGAACATACATACACACACACACAAATACAAACAGAGAGATACACACAGACACACACACAGATACACACACAGAAATACACAGACATACACCCACAAACACACACAGAAATACACATAGACACACACACAGCATACACACACAGACACACACACACCACACACAAACAGATAAAAAGCCATACACACACCACACAGACACATACATATACCACACAGACACACACACACACAGCCATACATACACACCGCACACACAGACACACACATAGCCATACACACATACCATACACCACCACACACCGCACACACACACCATACACCACACATACACACACTGCACACCACACACACACACACACACACACACACACACACACACACACACACTGAATAAATGAACCAATCTAGCCTAAGATCACCAAAGTCTGGTGTCAGTGGTTCAAATCATAGATTTTGATCTTTTTTCCTGGACCTCTCCTACCAAAGGACAGGTAAATTTTTAGCTGATACAACATGACACCATTCCCCCCCCCAAAAAAATTGGCTTTTGTAGTAATCCTGTCACTGAACCTAACCATCTTCTTCTTCTTTTTAACTATGTAAAGCATGATTTAATCCTCAAAACAATATTAATGAAAGACACTAGATTAAAAGAATACATATGATAAGGTTCAAGATGAGACAAAATTGATAGGCATAGTGTCACATGACCTTAATCTCAGCACGCAGTCAGCAGAAGCAAGCGCAGATCTGTGAGTTTGAGGCCAGTTTGGGCTACACAGGGAGTTCCATATGTATGATGCACACAAGACTACGTAGCGAGCCCCTCCTAGCCATGCTCCTTATTTTGTTAAAAACTTTACTTTCTGGTCGCCTACAGTGTTTGGGACCAAATCAAAGTGGTTTCTGCACCCAGCCCTCCCTGCAGCCGCTTTGTTGCTGAAAAGATGGTTTTTCCTGATGACCTGGTTTTCACTTCCCAGCGTTTTCAACAGCTTTGTGATTTCCACAGGAAACTGTGTTTGACTCTAAATGAAATACGTAGATGCTTTATCAGCAAGTCACACTCTAAGTGTCCTAAAGGCACCGACTTAGGAGTCTTGGAAGAAGAGGGACCATTAAAGGAAAACGTGAGGGAAAGGCTACACAGTAGGGAGCCGCTGAGGAGGTTTTGTGGTCTCAGCGGAAGGAAGGAGGTGGGAGTCTTGAGGGGATAATGTGATCGTGAGCTGTGCTGGCTTGGTGGAGCACAAATTCAAATGCAAATCTCTTGTGCAATCCAAAGAAAACCGCCTAACTCAGGCTTTGGAGGGGAAACTGCTTTGTTTCTGGTTGAACTATTTTTTTCCTGCCATTTTTCTTTGTTCAGTTGTGATTCTGTGCCTTTGTGTAGAGGCTGGAGCGGAGAGAAACTCCCCCGTGTTTGCAGGCTGGCTGGTGCCTTATAGACAAACTAGAAAGGCTTTGGAAGGGACTCCCAGAAGGCCACAGCACATTTCAAAAAGAAGCCGTACGATTTTGGTTGCCTCGTCGCCCTGCCTCTTACGCCCTGGATGCTGTACTCCATCATTTGTAGGTAACTAAGATCTGCTTCGCAAAGACAGGTCGTGAAGAGAGGGTTCTGTGGGGACACGGTGGAGGGCTCACAGGATCCCTCAGCGAGTGCCCACAGTTGGAATGCTGCGATGTCGGTCAGTGCCTGTGGGAACAGAGGCATGAGTCCAAATCTCTTAGAAAGGGTTGGAGAAGTCCAGGAAGCAAGGCTGCCCAGGATCAAATTATACAATAGCTAAGGTCAGGGAAAACCCTTCTGCTTACCATTTTGGCTGTTTTCTCTCAGGGTCCCTGTGCCTTCCGGGATTCCCCAGAGGCCTCCTCCTGGCAGAGTGGTAGGCTCAGAAACTTGCCTCCTTTCCCAGAAGGCTGGGAGCCACCACAGGGCAAGGGTTGTCCCCGTTCTTGGCTATTTATGGCCCAGCCTCTAGCCTTGGGTATGTCACAGAGGAAGGGCTAAGTGAGGATTTTCATACTCTGTCCTTTTATCTGGTCACCAAGATGAGGATTTACTAGGTCCTACTCCAGTTCAAAACGTCCACCTTTCCTAGGGTCAAAGGTTACCCAAAGGAGTGGCTTAGTGACAGCGTCGAGACTTGTGCAGGTGACAACTCTCAGGATGCCATCCAGCAGTCCTGTCAGATGTATAACACACGTATTCATCTGGATAAACTAGTAACACGGTCAGAAGTCAAAAGAGCCCTGGGCACCATGTTTGGATCTGAGAATCCGATGAAGTAATCCACAGAAAAATGTTCATGACAGTGTCAAGTGTAATGCAAAATCCCCCCTCCTCAGGCCTCATGTCCCCGACGCCAGGTCCTTCTCCTTGTGTCTGGACTTCTCTTCACAGCCAGTGGACATCCTGCCTCCAGCCCTGCAACTCTCTATTCCCCTGGATGCATGGCAGCTGAAGAATCTTCCCAAACAGTAGCCTGAACAGGACGCCAAATTCTGCAACAATCCTGCTCTCGCCGTGCATTAAGTATTGTGTGGCTCAGCAGAAACACGGTGCACCTGAGGACTTTGCTTCACTATATGAATTCACAGCACTCCTGCGCATAAAAGTTCATATATTTGGAGTTCTGCAGCATACTCTACAATCTCAGTGTTTCATGCTGCAGCTGGTCTAGGCTTTCCACAGCCTAGGCTGCCTGTCAAGATGAGTTTCCCATCTCATCTCACCGACCGCCTCGTTCCCTTCCACCCGGCTGTGTCCTGCGGGAACCAGCCATGGCCTCTTGCATATGTGCTGTGCGTACCGGTCCCAAGGGATCTGTTTCCCTTTTGAGAGGCAGAATTGTGTTCCTGGAAGAGGGAAGACCTGTCCTTATTACTGTGTCCCTCACAAGGCTCTGTAGTTGCTGAAAAATGGGAGCTCAGGGGATGCTGATTTCAACTGGAATAAATTGTGGGGGTGGGGGAGACTTTCGGGGTCCTCTGGCTGGCCTGAAAGGAAGCCGTGTCTACAAGTGGGAGGCAGATTCCGAATATCGCAGATTTATTGCTGGTCTCCAGAGAGGCTGTTCTTGCCTTGAGGGGAGGGGTACTGTATTCAAACAGAATTCATTGACAGATGTACTCAGAAGCAAGAGAGTCTTTGCTGGTTAATAGCTAAAACATCAGCATAACGGAAACCCTTTGTGTTGTTTATTTGTCAAGCAGTACAGCAAAGGCTTAATGTCTTGGGAGTCTCGTTCTCATAACTACATAGGAGGAGGCATTCCTGTATGGCCGTTATGGTGGAATCAGAAAGGTCAACCGACTTGCCCAAGATCACTGAGCCATCAGGTGGAATGTTTTGATCTCTAACATGGGAGCTCTCTTTAGTCGCAGGAAGTGCTCCTTTAGTCACAGGAAGTGTTCCCTGCTTGCCTCCACCACCTTGCCCCGTTTATCATGACCCATCCTGGCAGGCTCTTCCCCACTCTTCCCGCTGTGGAGGCTGAGGGAGCCCCAGTGAGTCATTTGCTGAGCAGCTCGTGAAGGGATGCAGAACGTGCTTAGGGAAACCAAGACGGGGATGCCACAGGCCAGGTGATTGTATCAGTCAGGGATTTCATTGTTGCAAAGCGGCACCGGCACCATGGCAACTCTTACAAAGGAAAACCTTTAGTTGGGGGGTAGCTTACAGTTCACAGGTTGTGTTCCCTATCATCACGGAGGGAAGCAAGCAGGCTTGGTGCTTGGAGAGGTAGCGGAGGGTTCTTCATCTGGATCGGCAGGCGGCAGGAAGAGACAGAGACGCTGGGGGCTGGCTTGAGCATTTGAAACCTCAAAGCCCGACCCCAGCGACGACACACTTTCTCCAACAAGGCCACAGGCACTCCGTCAAGGCCACACCTCCTAATAGTCCCTGTGAGCCTATGGGGGCCGTTCTCGTTCAAACCGCCACAGAGAAGATCGTTATTGCGAAGGAAGGCTGGAAGGTTGGGTGGCTCTTACCACAGAGGTAGCAGCCGGTTATCCTGACTGAAAGTAAAGAGCCCCGAGACAGGAGAGACTTGGAAGGGGATGAGGCCTTAAGTCTGGCAGCAGCTATGGGGAAGGATGGAAGGGACAGATCTGAGAGAGCTGGAAAGTTACAGATGGGGTATAATCTGGTGGTGGCTTAGATGGCTCAGGGACTGGAGAAGAGGGCAGCTTCCCCCAGGCTCCTGGCCTGTGTGCTGTTGTTGAGGGGGAAAAAAAGGATGAAACCCAGGCCTGCACATTCCTTGCTAAAGGCCTGCAGATCCACTTAGACTCCTTCTGGTCCCTCGAAGTTGCCATAGTAACCACGAGAAGGGTGCTAAGCGGACCACAGAGGTATTTGTATCTCTGATTCCGAGCCTCAAGTCCCAGTCAGTATTTGCAATTGTGACGAACAGTTAGTCTGCTGAGAAACCGGCCACCCAGATGTTTGAGATGTAAATCGTTTTTGTGATTATTTTGTTTTACATTGATGTGCACGTGTGTGTGTGTGTGTGTGTGTGTGTGTGTGTGTGTGTGTGAGCATGTGGGCAGGTGCCCTTGGAGGCCAGAAGAGGGCGTCAGATCCCCTGAGGCTGGAGCCGCAGGCAGCTGTGAGCTGCCCAACACGGGTGGAGGAATCCAGCTCAAGTTCTCTGCAGCTGCAGCAAGCAGACTTCACTGCTGCACCACCTCTCCAGCCCGATCCCTTAGCTTTTCAACATTTGCTTGATCTCTGGAAGACTTTGAATTAGATGCAGAAGCAAACCCAGGGAGCCAATAGCATTTTGTGTGTGTGTGTGTGTTTGTGTGTTTGTGCAATTTTGCTGCTTTTAAGCATTTGTGGTGTTTAAGACAATTTGAGCCTAGGAGGACAGACAAGCAGGCTTTTCCCAAGATATATTTACCATAAATATTAATTTAAGCCTGTGACTATAATTCCATGTGTGAAATGCCTTGTTGGCTTTTGAAAAAACAGGATTAGGAGTTTTGAAAGAATAAATAATACGCTACATACTTAACATGTTAAGACTAAAACATGTTGTCACACGTGTGCACATTTTGCCCCATGCATGCTTGTAAGTCATGTGCGTGCCTCAGAAGCGAGGGTCAGACCTCCTGGAGTCACAGACAACTATTAACTTCCTTGTGGGCGCTGGGAGTTGGATCCAGTGCTCTTAAGGGCTCAGCCATCTCTCCAGCTCTGATTAATATCACTGTACAAAAATAACTTTGACTTTTAGGAGGCTTTTTTTTCTTCCTTCCTTGTCCTCCTTCTCCTCTTCTTTTTTGTTTGTTTTCTTTTTGGTTTTTCAAGATGGTTTCTCTGTGGCTTTGGAGGCTGTCCTGGAACTCACTCTGTAGACCAGGCTGGCCTTGAACTCACAGAGATCCGCCCGCCTCTGCCTCCCGAGTGCTGGGATTAAAGGCATGCACCACCACCACCCGGCCCTTTTCCTCTTTTTTAACCAATAGTTAATTAAACCAGAGGGCTTTCCACATGCTAGGCAAGTGCTCTGTCACTGACCTGTAGTCCTCTTTCCCCTTCTGAGACAATCTTAGACGTAGCCCAGGCTGGCCTCAACATCACCATTTTTCTTCCTCAGCCTTCTGAATGCTGGGGGGGATTTTAGATGTGTGCCCTAACACCCAACTGAACTTTCACATGAACAAATAAAATCTGCATATATTTAGTAATGCAATAAGGTGTTATGTGCTTTTTAGGTAAGTTAAACACTCAGAAAGGAAATAAACCATGTAGACACAGTTCAAAAACGTAAGATCACATACCAATTTGATTAAAACTTCCTTTAAAGTGATGTTAAGATTCATTAATTTTGAGAATAGGGTAAGATTTGTTAATTTATTAAAAGCTCAAGAAAACCCTAGAGGTTTCTTTTTTAACTTTTATACACCACTTGCTCTTAAAAATTTCTGAAGCCAGGCGGTGGTGGCACACACCTTTAATCCCAGCACTTGGGAGGCAGAGGCAGGCGGACGCATGTGAGTCAGGCCAGCCTGGTCTACAAAGCTACACACAGAAACCCTAACTGGAAAAGAAAATTTAAAACAATTTTTTGTTTATAAAAACCATCCAAAGATTTTTTTAAAAGCCACATTGATGGGACATATGCCAAAATTAAAGAGAATATGATTCAATGGTTCCAAAATAATGCCCATGCAATATTTTAATAAGGTGTGCTCAGATGTACACGTTACATGTAATGCCAGCAACCCAGTGTCAGTATTTATGTGTCTGTTGTGTGGGTGCATTCCTGCTTCCTTGCTTCAGAGCAGCCGCTGCAGGCAAGCCCTGCACACCGCACATGAAGGCTTGGGCAGGCTTGTCTGAAAGCTGTTTTCCATAGCTTAGATGTTCAGCAACCCAAGAAGAGAACAAAGGGATTTTGCTCCGTGAAGCCTAATTGCCTGCTGAATAAATAAACAAACAGACAAAGCCATGTACGCATGCAGCGAAGGTAAATATTGACCCTGACACCATATGCTCTGTTTGGTGCCAGGGGAAGTGAGCCCGGCTGGTTTTGTCAGCGAGGAGCCGTCAGCCTAGAAGGCGGGGTGGGGGTGGGGGTGGGGGAGTGGGGGTGTGGGAGTGTGGGGGGTGGGGGGCGTGGGGGTTGGGTAGGCGGGGGTGGGGGTGGGTGTCCATCGTGTCTTCGTTTTGTATTCCACTGTTCCCCAAGGGAGGAGAAAGGACTCTTCTGAGTGTGGAGGTCACTTGAGCATGTCCTAGTGGAAGAAACCGCCTCCAGTTCATCTGCCCCTTGGTGGGGAAGTCCCATCCCCGCTCTGAGCCTCATTTTCCTGTCCTCACCGTAGGGCGGAGTATTAACACCGGAACGCTGCTACTGCACTGGCCTCAGTCACAGATTTTCCAAACTCAAGCAAGGTTAACAACAATGGCTCCTGGGTACCAGTTGAGTACTCTTTTCTCATCCTCCCCGCTTCTGTTTTGCAAGCCCATTGTAGTCATCAAAGAAGGAACAGACAGGGAGAGCTTAGCCACCACGGGGAAATCGCGGGGGGGTGGGGGATCTGACCTTCTACCTCCCGGTTCAAGCGCCTGGTGCAGCATCCGGACACTTTTTAAACCCTCTAGCTCTGACTCTTAAAAGATGAGCTGTACAAGGCACTTTTCTGTGACAAAACACCTTGACCCAGGCAGCTTACAGAAAGAAGAGCGTACCGGTTCCGGAGGATTGAGAGCCCATGGTGGTGACCAGGCAAGGCGTCGTGCGTGCGTGGGGCAGCAGTAGCATGCGGGAGATCAGGTCCCCGACGCGAAGACGAAGCAGAGAGAGTGAAGGGGAAGCAGGAGGGTGAGACTGTGACCCCTCCAAGCCCACCTCCTGCTTCTAGCAAAGCCACGCCTCCTAACGTCCCCAAACAGTGGCGCCACCTGGGAAATAAGTGTTCGAATGCCCCAGTCTGTGGAGGACACCTCTAACTCAGACACCACACAAATCTCAGGAAGACCGAGGAAGAGCCTGCGTGGTCCTGCAGCCGTTCGTGATACTGGAGATTTATTTCGTTGTATCGTTAGTATTGCTTTGTTACTACTTTTACATTGTTTTATTTGGTACTTGGAATGGTTTCAGATTTCCTTAATATCTGCTCATACCTACATACAATTTTATGAACATGCCTAAAAATAATGAGCGCATTTAAAAACAGGTCTTAGCAATTCTGAATATAATACACTCATAAAATGTCACGAGAAGATTTTAAAAAAGCAGGTATGAGATTTAAAAGTCATTGCTTATTGTCTTGGTCACTTTTCTATTGCTGCGAAGAGAAACCATGACAAAGGCAACTGATAAAACAGTTTGTTAGGGACTTGCTTACGGTTCCAGAGGGTTAGAGTCCGTGACCATCACGGCAGCGAGCGTGGCAGCAGGCATGTGTGGCGCTGCAGCAGTGGCTGAGAGCTCACATGTTAGAGACAACAACCTCGAGGCAGAGAGAACTGGAACAATAAAGACTTTGAGTGACACACCTCCCCCAACAAGGCCACACCTCCTCATCCTTCCCATACAGTTCCACCAATGGGACCAACCATTCAAACGTGAACCTATGGGGCCCATCTTCATTCAAACCACCACACCGTGGTGGCCTTGCTTTACAAGATTAATTTATTGATGTGCAATTTACAGAACATAAGGTTAACCATTGTTAACTACATGGTGTGTAGTTCACTAATGTATTACAGTCACCCCTTCTATCTAGCAATCTAAGTATCCCAATACTGATCCCATTCCAATAATAATTGAACGCTTGGTTTTTAGTTCCTGTTTCACCCAGCTTCTGCCAGTCATTCTTACGCATTTTGTCTCCTGGGATTGACCTACTTGGGATGTCTCATACAAACAGGATCATGCACTGCGTTAAACCAAAAACAATCCTCTGGAATAAATGCGTGTAAAGTATATTAAAATGAGTCTTTTCATACTTACCAATGAGCAATACTTTCAATATATGAAATCCAAGTTTAATTTAATTTGATAAAAATCACACTGTCAAATTTATTGCGATTTTAAAGTGGGAAGGTCTTGGTATATTAAACATTAAACAAAGTAGGACATCTTGCACTAGCTTAAGTTTGTTTCTAGTACAGTTTACTATGTAGTGCAGGTTGGCCTTAAACTCATGACTCAGTCTCCTTAGGAGCTGGACCACCATGCAAGTTCTCTCATTTTTTTATGTTGTTGTTGTTTTTCAAGACAGGGTTTCTCTGTATTGTTTTTGAGGCTGTCCTGGAACTCGCTCTGTAGACCAGGCTGGCCTCGAACTCACAGAGATCCGCCTGCCTCTGCCTCCCGAGTGCTGGGATTAAAGGCGTGCGCCACCAACGCCCGGCAGTTCTTTCATTTTTTAAAAGAGCAGTAGCACAGCCACAGTTGGGGACTTGTCCTAAGCACTGCGGTATGTTGAGCAGAGTTCCTTTTTTCCAGCCATTTGACAGAAGCAGCACATCTCCAGCGGTGGTTATCCAGATTCCCTTCAGACACATGTGAGGGTGAGATGGAGGTGGGGATTACTGCTTTAATTAAAGCAGCGGAGATGCCGGGCAGTTACACCATCTGAGCAATTTTCTTCCTGTTAGCTCTTAGTCATTTGTTTAGCTGACAGGCCCCAGTTCAGATGAACAATGCGCCACGTGGTGTCCTGGGTTTGTAGAGGCTAGAGAGACAGCATGATATCGACACGCAGGACTGCACTTCAGTGTTGGGTAAAGGCAGACCCTGCCCTCCCCTCTGCCGTCAGCCAAGGCTCAGATCTTCTGGCCGCACCATCTATCAACCGGAATCACGGACGTTGGCACCGCAGCCACTGCCATTGACGCCCTGGTGAAGAGATGCAGTGGAGAGGCTTGGGAGCCCGTGCCGCGGCCAAACCTGGGAGGCATGTGTGGTGGGGACATCACTAGCCCTTTGCCCACATGCTTTGTTCCTCTTTGTAGACCGTCTTTGTTCTGCACTAGCCTAGAACACTTCCCCAGATTCCCAATTTGCCTGGTCACGCAACCAAAAACATCTCACGCACAGGAAACAGGAGAGTTGTGGCCAATTTACAACCCAACATTCGGAGTCGATCTTTCCAAGGGATAAGGCCAGGAAAACTGACCTGAGAAGGTAACACAAGAATTTGGAGTAGTAAAAACAAAAGGGGAGATGTCTCCAGTTGTTTAAATGTTGGGCAAGCATGAGGACCTGAGTTCAATCCCCAGAGCCCACATAAAAAGCCAGAGTAGGGCACGTGCTTGTAATCCTGATGCTGGGGCCCGGGTGGAGTCTCTCTCTCTCTCTCTCTCTCTCTCTCTCTCTCTCTCTCTCTCTCTCTCTCTCTCTCTCTCTCTCTCACACACACACACACACACACACACACACACACGAGCAAAACGTATTATGTGGAGGTATCCTTCGACAGCTGGCGTTGGTTGCCATTCCTCACTCACGGCGAGTGTAGGCATACACTCGTGGGAGGGAATGTCCCTGAACTTTCCAAACGGGTTACCAGGGTTGTCCCCCATAGGAGGCATGGCCCCCAAAACCTTCAGTGGCTTGCTGTCACCACATGCTTATATTGGAAGTGCTGAGCTCACTGTTTAAGTTCCAGTGCAACTCAGTTTCAGGTTAGCCTGTCGAGGTGGGCTTACGGGAGACATTCCGTCTTTCATCACAGGCCGGGCAGGTGTGTCAAGGCCGGCCACTGAAATACGCTTTCTTCTGGGTAACCAGTGGTCGGAGAGGGCAGAGAGTGGCTCTCGGAAGCCTGTGTGTGTGCCTTTCTGGTACATTTCCCGAGACAGTGAGTTTCGGGGGGGGGGGGGAGAAAGGAACACGGCTGTCAACGGCCTCCCTCAGGGTGCTCTGCAGCGGTTTGATCCTCAGGTGCTTTCAGGGGTTGCCAGGGAGAACGTGGATCGCTTGGTCTGAGGCTGAAAGGGGGTTCAGCTAAGGTCTGTGAAGGTTTTGTTTGGTGAAACACATTGTGAATTTATTTACGAGGTTCAGAACGTCAGGGCCCTGGGAAAGGAAAAGGAAGTTGACTATTTTCATTGAGTAGGCAAAACCTTGCTTCCAAGGAGAAGCATATAGTTGCCTACAACCAAGAAGTCCTTAAAAAAAATCGAGTGTGTTAATTTGGTTTCTTGATCTCTTACATGACTAGTCACATGGTGTACGTGTCAATTAGGTTTATGCTTAGTCATCTACAACAAAACAGAACAATTTCATTAAACCCCAAACAAATAATAGCGTTTAAATAAAGGTGGGAATCGTGCTTCCTTATGGGGAAGCTCAAGGCGGGCTGAAGATGGTTTGGTACCCACGCTTGCAGAGACGCAGCCTCCTTCCTTGTTCTCTTCACTGTCTGAAGGCTGTTCGCACTGCGGCCACCACATTCAAGTCCCAGCCTCCAGGAGGGAGGACAGAGAGGTGTGTTTCTTTCCGTTTGAAGACCCTTAGGGGTGGGGGTGGGGTGGATAGATGGCTCAGTGGCTAAGAGCACTGGCTCCTCTTCCTGAGGTCCTGAGTTCAGTTCCCAGCAACGACCTGGTGGCTCACAGCCATCTATAGTGGGATCTGATGCCCCCTTCTGGCATAAGGTCATACATGCAGATAGAGCACTCGTACACATAAAATAAATAAACTAAATAAAATTCATGAACATAATAATTCATATAAATAAACTAAATACACTAAGACCTTTGGGGAGATGTTAGAGACTCTCATGAAGTACCGTTTACCATTTAGCTTCTACGCTCATTGCTATATGGCCATATTTACCTACGAGGGAATCTGAGAAATGCGCCTAGCTAAAATGTGCCAGAGAAGTGTTATTGCTTGCATCTGTGGAGAACGAGAAGGTCTCTTTCAGGGAGACCCAGGGAGGCGTCTCTTCTTGCTGAGCCTTTACTAACTCTAGCCATGCACACTACTTTTTGGAGTTTGGACTAAATTACCCGGTTAAAAAGTGTGGATATCAACAAAAAGCCCAACGTTAGGACCGAGTTACCTCCATGCCCTCCAAATATTACAGGCTGCAGTCACTGCTCTTGGTTACCCTCCGAAAGCTGATGGCTGACAATGTCGCGTGCTCGAGTCACAGAATGCAGAGAGATGAAGGCGGTACTGACCTGAGATCCTCAACCACACTGGCCAGCTTTCGTAGGGCTGGAAGGTACTGCGCATGGTCTCCAAAAAGTCATCAGTAATCTTAGCCGGCCGTGAGCCCCGAGGGCTTCAATAACAAACCGCCGGGCAAGATGTCTTCCCTAGTATAACAGCGGTGCAAATGCCACTTTCTAGCTGGCTTTAAAGACTGCTCTACGAGTGGGAACCCATACCTGACAGCTCCTGGGACCAAGAACCCAAGGCTAGGCAAATCACAGGCCCTAGGAGAGAGCCTACTGCCATGACTCTTCTGCGGAGGCACTTTTATTAAACCAACTCCTAATGACATCTTGTAGTCACACATCAGCGCATCTCTCAGATGGGGGGTGAAAATTCTCAAAGGATTAATAAAAGCATTTTTTAAAGTTTAGGTATTTATCACATGCCACGTACTGTCTTAGGAGCTACAGACAAGGTGAGGGGGGGCTGCCCCTGCCCTCAGGAAGCTGACGGGAAGGGAGGAGACACACACAGAGTATACCCAGTGACTCACAGTCCTACAGTTAGGAAACAGTCTGCTTAAAAGAAAAAAAGTCCCGTGGTGCTTTTCTAGGTCACCCTCGATGGCAGGGCTCTGGTTGAAGTAAGATTAACATTCGCTATGAACTGCCACTCTACGGGACGGTGAGCACCGTGCGGGCAGAAAGCAGTCTGTCATTGCTTAGCCTGGCACACGGGGAACATCGGCGAGTCCCGGCTCAGTAGTTAGGTAAGAGGACACGTGAGCAAAGGGAAAGGCTAGGTAGCAGCACAGTTATACGTGGATGATTCATACAACGTTGAGCCTTGCATACGGATGCACATGTCTAAGAAAGATTCATGGCGCAGGGTGGCTGTTTTCCAGGAACATGTGGTATGTGTTCTGGACTATGATTTATCAAATGACCTTGCGTATTTAAACCACGATTTGTGCACTTGACATTTGTCGGTTGTCTATAACCCGCTTTGCATGCTTTAACTCCCTAGTTGTTCCTTCTGGTTCAGATGTGAGGGCCTGTGTGGACCCAGACACGCTCGTTTTCCCGGTGTTCAGGAGGCGTGGTTTAATCTGGGGTGAACCGGCCAACTCTATGCGCCTACTGTAGGGCTGGGAGTCATCACCATCGCCGTCATCGTCATCATTTCCATCAGCACTTTCACGGTGCTGGCTTATTTACTATCTTCCAAACATCGCGTGAGCCCTGCTAGTCCTGAGACAATACCACGGGGTAGGTACCGACATGGTCCCGCTTCTGGGCTGCTCCGTGGGTGAGCTAGCGTGGTCTCCGGTCTCAGGCAGTGTGGCTCTGGAATCTGTGTTCCTCATGACTTCACCGAGATGCTTGTGCTAAAATAAGAACAAACCTTGGGCCCCGGGTGTGAAAGGAAGCATGGCTCGCTTTGATGTGTGTGGCGTGGTAAGCAGATGTTTGCTCCAGGGAGGCTACGGGAATTCAAGGTCATTCTGAGGGGGTGGCAGGGGCAGAGGGGACTCCAAGACCTGGAGTCAGTGCCCTGATGGTGCTGTGAACTCTACAGTCAGTGAGGCAATAAGCACTTCATTTCAAGCTATGACATATTTTTTGAAATATATATATATATATAGAGAGAGAGAGAGAGAAGTTCTTTCTTTTTCTTTTTTCTTTCTTTCTTTCTTTTTTTTTTTTTTTTTTTTTTTTTTGGTTCTTCGAGACAGGGTTCCTCTGTGGCTTTGGAGGCTGTCCTGGAACTCTCTCCAGGTTGGACTCGAACTCACAGAGATCCGCCTGCTTCTGCCTCCCGAGTGCTGGGATTGAAG